TTTGCCGTAGCTTTGCGGAGCCGATATTCATCGTTTGGGTTACAAGATTACTTAAAACTAACGTTAGTAAAGCGGGGGCCGATTACTCGTGGCTATCTCGAGGTTAAGGGTAACAAACGGGTGGCAGGGTAGGGATTGAGATCACAAGGTTTTTTAGAGCAATGTGCTCTTAATCTAGAACTAAGCGACATACTGGAGAAAAAGACAAACATGGGGGTACACCGATGGAGACCTAGCGACTTGAGAGAACACAAGATGACACTAACTACTAAATCCTCAGATCGATCAGACATAAATTAAATTAAAATATTCGAGATCTCGGCTCGCCAAGATGTCTCTAACGGGCCGCATAGGTTGTTTTCCTCGGGCCCTGAGGGATGCGGATAACTCGGATGTAGCAACACAATGGAGGGTGCATGACCAAAGCACGTGGTCGACATCGTGATAGCTACTACCACAAGCGCACAAATTGCTGCCTGCGAGCCCGATTCGGAAGAAATGCGAGTCTAACGAGTAGTGATTGGACATGAGCCTTGACATGACACGTATAAAGTCACGGCTCATGTCCAATCCTTTGAACCATGGCTTGTTCGACACCTGTGGGAGAATAGAATGTAACCATCTTCCCAGATCACTCTCATTCCATTTTTGTTGCCAGTTGGTGAGGACGTGCTGACGGGTAATTGAAAAAAATTCCGCAAAGGCGATTTGTCGCTCAAAAATATCGCCTTCCATAGCGCCCACCTTAGCTAGCGAGTCCGCTTTCTCATTACCCGGAATTGGGCAATGAGATGGGACCTAAACTAATGTGATAGTATAGGAGCAGTTAGATAAAGTACTCAATTTAGCTCGGATTTCGGTCAGAAAATACGAGGAGTGCTTCATCGGCCTCATTGATCGAATAGCCTCCAACGAGCTAAGGCTATCAGTAAAAATAAAATAGTGATCAGATGGTAGTGAGGCAATTTGCTCTACTGCGTAAAATATGGCTGCTAGTTCCGCAACGTATACGGAACAGGGGTTTTGCAGTTGATATGAGGCGCTATGAAATTCGTTGAATACTCCAAATCCAGTGGAAGCGTTTATAGTTGACCCATCTGTGAAAAAACTCTTATTGTTACTAACATGGTGGTACTTGTTTGCAAAAATTAAGGGAACAACCATCGACCGATGGTGATCTGGTATTCCACGGATTTCTTGCAACATGGTCAGATCAAAATTTACAGAGGAACTATAAAAGTCTTGGAGGCAAACACGAGAGGAATTGAATGAAGAAGGGCCAATCTCCAGCGTCATGTACTCCTAATAGAGACTCATGAATCTTGTTTGAGGATTTCTGTCGAGCAGCTTCTCAAAGTTTTCTATTACCAATGGGTTCATTACTTCACAACGGATAAGAAACCGGAAGGACAGTTCCGCAAAACGATCTGTCAGTGGGAGAACACCCACGAGTACTTTGAGGCTCATCGTATGCGTCGAGTGCATACAGCCAAGCGCGATTCGGAGGCAACGGTATTGAACTCGTTGCAGCTTCAGGATGTGTGTTTTTGCCGCGGATTGAAAGCAGAAGTTACCGTACTCTAGAACCGACAAGATGGTTGTTCGATACAACCTGATCAGATCTTCCGGGTGTGCTCCCCACCAAGTACCGGTAATTGTACGAAGAAAATTGATTCTTTGTTGGCATTTTTGTTTCACATACGCAATATGTTTTCCCCACGTGCTTTTGGAATCGAACCAGACACCTAAATACTTGAAAGATATATTTTGAGTGATTGTTCTACCCTTTAGTTGAAGCTGTAACTGTGCAGGATGATGCTTCCTAGAAAAAACAACCAACTCAGTTTTCTCCGGAGAGAATTCGATAACCAGCTTCATAGCCCAAGTAGACAAATTGTCTAAGGTATCTTGCAATGGTCCTTGCAGGTCCGGTGCACTTGGCCCTATAACGGACACAACGCCGTCATCTGCAAGCTGCCTTAGCGAGCAATTTTCATCAAGACAACCATCAATGTCTTTTACATAAAAATTATAAAGAAGGGGGCTTAAACATGAGCTCTGGGGGAGACCCATGTAACTAATTCGTGAAGTTGTCGAGTTTCCATGAGAGAAGCTCATATATTTCTCAGACAACAAGTTGCTCAAATAGTTGTTCATAATTGGTGAAAGCCCACTATGGTGGAGTTTATCCGAAAGGACATCGATACAAACAGAATCAAAAGCCCCCTTAATGTCCAAGAAAACTGAACCCATTTGCTGTTTTTGCGCATAGGCCAGTTGAATTTCAGTTGAAAGCAACGCAAGACAGTCGCTCGTTCCCTTGCCTCTCCGAAATCCAAATTGCGTATCTGAAAGTAAACCATTCGACTCGACCCATAGACTTCTTGTTGCAAGATCTCACTAACACCACCTTAACTCGTGTAGCCGTGTAGAATCGATTTGTTTATTATTTTCAACCACAAAATCAGCTGTCAAACTATTTCAACTCTTCCGAATAAAAATTTACGTGAATTCAAAAATGGTTTTAAGGTGTGTGATTCCTTCGTGCTACGTTTATTCAAGCGATAAAACGTATCGGATGTTCCGGCTTCCAGCGGTATACAAACGGTTCAGTGAATCAGAGCGGAATTTGGCCAAAATGCGGCTTGTAGTTTGGGTGAAAGTGTGTGGCTTGACCAAAACTCCGGCTCCCCATCATCGTGTCTGTGGTCGGCACTTCGTCTCCGGGAAGCCTGCAAAGCTTTTGGAGGATAGTGATGTCGATTGGGCTCCTACTTTGAATCTGCAGGATACAGCTGATAATTTGCTAACTATGACGATGGGATCTGAGAGTGATCATCAGCTTGACTCTGGGTGTTCAACAAATTCTGTGGAGTACCCGGAGAGCAGTCCTATCAGTTTCGATACGTCTGTGAATCAGCAGGAGAGCAATGATGAATCAACCTCAACCGTGGACATAAATATTGATTTGGACCCGCCTGTAAATCAGCAAGACACAAGTGGCGAACCAATATCTGAAGGAAATTGTGATCTTCATGAATTGAATCACACATTTCAAAACGAATTGGGGACTGAATTGGAGATCAGTCAAGAGTATGCTCTAATATGAAGGAGTTAGGTTTTAATCTAATGTTAACGCAAATATTTTTCAGGCTATCGTTTCAATTAATCGAAAGTGGATGTCTACGATTGAATGCAGCAACGAAAGGCATCCCTGGTGGCGCATACAGCTTGAGTGATGTTTCACCCTCGGTTCTATCCACTTCTAGCTCGTTCATGGATCAATCTGGAACTTACAAGGCGTCTATTGCAGCAGTCGAAACGAATGAGTACGTACTGAATAAAGAACTATCCATTAATCACGTGTATAATAAAGAAAGATATCACATACCTCTGCTCTATACAAAATTTTGAAAGAAACTGTTCACACAGTAGAAGCACAAAGAAGCAAGATTTGATATTCTACTAAAATAATGAACAATTTAGTTTCACATCTCTAATATATGTATTTAATTACCATTACAGGATTGCTGGACTCACCGTTCAAAATCAGTTCCCTCTTGATGATATCATCTGGCTAAATTGTCAACAATCAACAACAACAGGAGCTGATAATTTGACCGTCATGAATCGATGTCAACCAAACGGAACAGAATCGTCCAATGTGCCATCGAAGGTTGTTTATTACAGTGACGTATGCGTCCAAACGGAAACATGTATGGAAAAGGAAGTGGAGCAATGGAAGTTTGCGCTAGAACGATCCGAGAAAGAAGTCACTTCCCTTCGAGATCACCAAGATAAACTACAGCGGGATTTGATTGACGCAAAAGAAGCTACACAGCTTTCAATGTCTACGCTCGAAGCAAACGACAAAAAATGCCGTTACTTTGCAGGGCTTATAGCTGTGGGCTAACATTAAAGCGTCTCTACGAGTCATTGCAGCAAGATATACCGGATTTTGAAGGACTGGACAAAGAGAAAACCTTGATATTGACACTGCGTAAATTACGATTGAACGAACCATTTTGTACTCTTGGATACCTGTACAATTTAAACCAAACGACTATTTCCAAATATTTTTACGAAACGATTAACGCGATTTACCCGTTTATGAACGCTTTCGTAAGATTTCCGTCTCGAAACGTGTTGAAGCAGCATATGCCGTCAGCATTCCGAAAGAAATACAACGATGCTGTTACAGTGATCATTGACTGCTTCGAAATACATATTGAATCGCCAAATTCTAGAGCCATGATTGCTAGTGCCAATGTGTTTTCTAATTATAAAAAGCACAACACTATCAAAGTGTTGATCGGAGTCAGCGCATCTGGATCCATATTGTATGTATCTGAAGCCTTTGGCGGACGAGCTTCGGACAAAGAAATCGTGAAATCTTCTGGATTTTTGAACTACATTGAAGAAGGAGATTTCGTAATGGCTGATCGAGGATTTTTAATCAACGAATTGTTGGCTCCGATACATGCAACTGTTGCTTATCCAGCTTTCAAGAAAAAAAAAAAAAAAACCAACAGCTACAACCCCTTGATGCAGTTCATTCTAAAGAACTTTCTTCGTTGAGGATCCACGTGGAGAGGTTGACAGGAGTGCTTCGGCAAAAGTTCTTAGTATTGACGGACACCATTCCCATAACAATGCTACAGCACTGGAACAACGATACTCCCGCGATCGATCAAATACTAGTCATAGCTGAAGCCCTGGTAAACTTATGCCCTAGTGTTGTTCCTTCTCTTTGAGATGTTTTATTCTTGTTAAATAAAGAGATTTTTATATTGTTTGTTTCATTTATTCGTAAATTTCTTACCAACCAATTCAGGGAAAATAACATTTTTGAAAAAAGCTATCGCCGTGTTTTTACAGAACAACCAAAAATCATCGTTGCGTTTAATTTCGAACAGCAAAACCTGCTGAGGAGACCACACGTAAAAATATCCAAAATTTGCCTTACAGACGTATATCTGCATCAGAGCTTGAAAAAAATATTAATGTTTAGTTTTTAGCAGGATCTGGCCAGTGTCATTCCGTTCAATGAAGAAGTCCTGGAGCTGTTGTAAGGTCGCAACCATATCTGAACGATTTCGAGCTGAAAAGGGACACTTCACCTCAACTGTTATTATGCCGTGACAATCACAAAGAAAGGTTGCATCCGGTGATGCTCCCATGAACGGATGCTCTTCATAAATCACCAGCCCTGATTTTATTTTCCGCAAATTTTGGTGCAAATGTTGAACTGCGTGAAACAGCTGATCAACAGCTCTCTCCTCATGTTTCTTGCCATATTTGGTCGCTGCTGTAGAGAACGTTATCTCACTAGGATAACACAGTCTCTTAATCAGAGATACGGATGGTCGAGCCAACTGAGTGCTACACACGTCTTTTAAATTGGATGCTGTGATACGTCCACTCCTGAATACATTCCACCACTTGGAGTCACTTTGTTCAGCAGTTAAGTCGTCGATTCGTTTCAACATTGCCGGATCACTCGGAAGGTTTTGGATGTACTCGAATGCACGTTCTCTCAATTCAGCAATCGATTGCATGTTTAACGGGTCATGGAGTAACTGAAGGTTGTAGTCATCCAGCTGTTCTCTCAAATTTGTCGCATACGAGCAATTTGCACAGCAATAGTCCATATTAATTTCACCGCAGTATAGGCTAGCAGCAGTAACATTCAAGCCATCCGCCTGGAGCACGCTTAAGAGGTCTCGACATCTGGATTCGTAACAACTTAACGGATTGATAGACAAAAGGTTTTTTTGTATGCGCCTGCCAAAATCAATATCACGCACCTTTTTATATAAGTTGTCGCTGATACTTGCCGGAGGTTTTCTCCAGTATGCCGGCAAATCTGTTACCGACAACTGGAAATGTAGAAGCAAATAAAAATCATATAATATCATAAAAACACCTCAATGCTAAGCTAATCAAACTTGAAATATATGAGAAGTAATTACCAGGGAAGCAACAACGACCTATTTACCTTTTTTTCGAGGACGGATGTTCGAATTCCTTCAAGGGCAAATAAGGTAGCTCCTTTGTGACTGCATGCTTCTAGAAGCCCGATAGCGCAGTTGCAATGTGCTGCAAGGATCTTGCCATGCTCATCAATCAAAATCCAAGGATTAAGAGGCTTTTCGTTAAGCGCGAACGAATGCCGAACAACTCCGTGCACCACATATATATCTTGCACTCTTCGTCCAGAAACACTCTTGACCCATCCGTTTTTATAATAAAAAATCGCATCCATTCCTTTTCCACAATCTTTTGGTTCACCAGTAAACGGGTTGGGATCCAAAACTAGAAACTGGTAGATGTTGGCGAATGTCATCATTAATGGCACTTCTTGCGGTGTCGTTTGTACTGTTGACGGGTCGATACCGTAGCACATTTCCAATTTACGACGATATCTTTGTGCTGCAGCTTCACAATCCTTGAAATTAATAGTTTTTGCTTTAAATAAACATAAACTAGAAATAAAGTTGATTTCTTACCATTTTCCTGAAGTGGACTTGACAGCGATTTGTTTTTTATTTTCCACCAGTAGAACATATGTAGTAGTGAAATCGCTCACTAATACTAAAGGGGACAGAGAAGTCTATTGGTCTAGACGAAAAAGAATCATTTTCTCCAACAATTTCCGTATACAGGACAGCATCGCGATGGGACGGTACGAGTTATAATCCGACGCGGGATTACCGGGTTTTCGAATGGCGATAACTCTTACTTGCCTCCAATCATCCGGAACAATGTTGTGCTCCAGAAATTGATTGAATAAGTTCAACAAGCGTCTCTTCGCGACGTCTGGGAGATTTTTGAGCAAGTTGAACTTGATTCTATCCATTCCTGGAGCTGAGTTGTTACATGAGAGGAGAGCAAGTGAGAATTCCACCATCGAAAACGGGGAATCTATTTCGTTATTACCCGACGGACGATCACGAACGTTGGTTTGAACCGGTACCGAATCCGGGCAAACTTTCCGCGCGAAGCTGAAAATCCATCTGTCCGAGTACTCCTTGTCTTCATTTATCGGTGATGACGCGTTTCGCATTCTCCTGCCGACATTCCAGAGTGTTCTCATGGAAGTCTCTCGCGACAAACCATCGACGAACCGGCGCCAGTAACCGCGTTTTTTTGCTTTAATTAAGTCCTTAAAGGTTTTCTCGAGGTCGGTGTACCGCTCGAAATCCTCGACCTTACCGTGTTTGCGGAAGCGTTTAAACGCGGCGGACTTCTCGCTATTCGCGTCGGTGCAATCCTTATCCCACCACGGGGTGGGAGGTCGCTTGCGGACGGAAACACCCGGAACACGTTTCGTCTGTGCTCGCAGCGTAGAATCGATGATAAGACGCGCGAGAAAGGAGCACTCGTCCAGCGGAGGAAGTACGTCAACCGATTGACTGGCATCAAGAACCGCGGTCGCGAATTTTTACCAGTCAATGTTTTTCGTAAGGTCGTACGCGATGTCGACCGAACAAGTAGAAGATGAACCATTGGTAATAGAAATTTTGATTGGCAAATGGTCACTACCGTAGGGATCTTGAATTACTTTCCACGAGCAATCCAACGATAGTGAACTCGAACAAAGTGAGAGGTCTAATCTGCTTATTTTTGCTGGAGGTTTGGCTACTCGTGTTGCTTCCCCTGTGTTCAGAATTGTCATTTTGAAGAAGTCGCACATGTCGTATATCAAGGTTGAGCGGTTGTCGTCGTACAGTTCCCCCCAGCCTGTACCATGAGAGTTAAAATCTCCCAAGATCAACCGTGGCACCGGCATAGCCGTGCAGATATCCGCGAAACTTTGAAGAGAGATCGCGGTTCTCGGTGGAAGATATACTGAGGCAATACTGAGGCATTTACCTCGAATATTAACCTGACATGCAACTACTTCAATGCCTGTCACCGAAGGCAGATCGATTCTATAGAAGGAATGGAGCTTGTTGATCCCGAGAAGCACCCCTCCATACGAATCTGCGCGGTCAAGGCGAATAATGTTGAAATCGTGGAAAGCAAGATCGTTGTCTGAAGAGAGCCATGTTTCACAAAGGGCAAATGCATCAGAAAGTAAATTGTTAACTAAAAATTTAAATGTGTCAAGTTTTGGCATAAGACTTCTACAGTTCCACTGAAGAACAGAGATCATATCCCCGACCTCATTCGGAGAATTATCCATCAAAGGATATGATCGATGCAAGGAAGGACCACCTAGAAGCTAGTTGCTTCAAAAGAGTTTTCACCATTGGCAGCACTAAATTAATAATGCTCCTAGTTGAGTCAGAGATATTGAATATTTATACTGAAGAAGCTATCCACAATACCAGCAAACGTGAACATGGGGGCATGTTCTTGCTGATTATTCAGCTGCTTTTCTGGCCGAAAAACTGGGACATCTGGGGTTTTAGATGATCCTGGAAGTGACGGAAAGTTCTTGTCATAATTACAAGGTTGAAAACCCGGTGGAGTGGGCTTCGGTGCATTTCCGTTACCTCTTGATTTTTCCAAGGTGGAAGGGTGGTCTGTACGAGTGGCCTTACGAGGCTTTTCGGTGTTGTGTTGTTTTGCTCGTTTTCTCGTATTGCCTTTAAAGACAAACGGACTACCCTCACCGACCTCTGAGTCAGAGTCTAGATCATCAACTGGCAAAATGGAGAACGTGTTACTGCTTTTTGGTGTGGTCTGAGAAGATGAAGCGGTATTCTTCAAGAGTTCTGCTAGTGTTCTCTTGGAGCGAGCTTGCAGAGACCGCTTAAGTTTTTCTCCCTGCTGTTTATACCTCGGGCAGTCAGTCAGGGTATGCAGGCTTTCCTTGGAGTACACGCATTTTGGAGGAGCACCGCAAGGGCCCTCTTGATGTTGCTCGCCACACTGATCGCAGCGTGGTTTGTTCGAGCAGTAGTCCGATGTATGACCAAGTTGTTTACATTTCGAGCAATTCATTACCCGAGGTACAAACAGACGTACAGGCAGCCGAACCTTGCCAATAGCGACGTAGTGAGGTAACGCTGAACCCGAAAAGGTCACACGAAACGAGTTTGACAAGGAATAAGTTTTTTTGGAGCCTACTACGGATACTGACTGCATTTGAAGGCAGTCCAATATCTTCACCTTCGGCAGAGCACGGTTTTTAAAGATTCCGAAGGAATCGGGACCCAAGAAATCATCACTAGTCAAACTCCTTCAATTTCTACCTCACTACTGGGTATGTAGACTCGGTATTCCAATGAAAAAAGCTCGCACGCAACAATTTGGTTAGCCTGCTTCCGGTCATCAACGGTAACGCGCAGTTTTATTGGTGTTACCTTGAAAATATCGGTAACGGCCGAAAAATGTGTTGTTAGATCCTTAGAGATCCTCGGAATGTTCAAAGGTTTTTGTTAGGGCCGGAAAAAAACAACCCATGGGCCTTTCGAGGCTTCTGGGTAAGCCTTTAGGCGGGGGAGCGCAGAGGTTTTTGGAGGCAATGGTGTGGGGGGTGCAGGTGGACGAGGAGGAGATGGTGGGGGAGAGGGTTGTGGGCGATACCTTTTCTTGGGATATGCTCCAGTATTTTTGCTGGAGAGCGAGTCAACTGGAACGTCAAGGGTTTCCATTTCCACAACTTCCTCGAGACTTTCGTGTGAGGTGGAATTACGAGTTTCGTCGTCTGCGATGGAAAGCGACCATCCCCCGCCTTTATCATTTTCATCCATTGCGGTTAAATATCGCCGCAATGGTGTTTTTGGTAAATATTTTACAAATAATTACAGTAATTTCAAATAATATCAAAAATAGAAAAAAAACAAAATGCAAAAAAAAATAAAAGAAAATTGGTATAGTTTTACTCTACTAAAGAGTAATACGAAAGAAAGAAGAAGAAAAAAACCAAGAAAAAAAAAATAAGAAAAAATATATATATATATACTGAAAAAAAAATTGGATCACCCTAACTATACTCTACATAAAAATAGTACAAGAAAAAAGTTGGAAGGGTTGTATACTAGATACGACCGCAGGGTTGGCGTTGGATAACGTCTGTTATGTGTTGTACTTAATTGTGTATATTATATTTTAGGAATATTCCTTAATAACTCTTTTGCGAAAGTTTGGTGGCCCTGAAAAGGGCCGTTTTGTTGGGCTGATGTTGTTGACAATGATGGAACGGGCGACCTTGTTGGACGCTTATATAGTAGAACAGAAAATATCAGAGGTGTCAGATACTCGCATACGTACGTTAAACTCTTTCTTGATAATGTTGTGGCCCTGAAAAGGGCCATTTTTCCAACGCGCTTCGGAGCAGACGGTGAATACGACCGACTGAGAACTGCAGCAGCTGGGCATTCCATGACGGCGGCCCAGTATACCGGAGCACTGGCACCAACGCACTCGGCGTAGTTGCCCTTTCGCCTCCAGGCTCTGCTGCCGCTGCTCTGCTGCCGCTGCTCTGGTACTGCTGCTCTGCTGCTCTGCTGCTGGGTCGACGATCGGATAGACAATGATGGAACGAGTGACCTTGTTGGACGCTTATATAGTAGAACAGAAAATATCAGAGGTGTCAGATACTCGCATCTGATGTCTCGGTTGGAGAAAGTATAAGAATATAAATAAAATCAATCGATTTTCACCATCTTTAGATAATGGTTTACTTTTAACCATTTTTCAATAGTTTACAGAATGAAATCAATAGTTTTGAAACATTCAGCAAATTGCTAGAAATATTTCCAATCGATTGATGCCATTATCTCGTAAATCTATCGAGAGACGGTTGAGTTATTATCGTTCAAAATCTTTTGATTTTTCGTAACGCATCCAAAATGACTGTTTTCAATTTTGTAACCCCATATGTTGCCGAAAGACGTTATCTAACGTCAAAAAAATCAAGAAAAAAAATTATTGATATATACTATTTACAAGATTTTGGATCACCCTAATTTTGACCCAACCTAATCTAATACTGGACCATGCGGGGAGATGCGATACTGGTGAAAACAAAGCGACACGGTATACCTATTGCACTGAGGCGGCAGATGACTGGTGCGATGCTATTGTTTGCCCCAACGGCTGTTGGGTCGATAACCTTGCAGTTGGTATGCCTCGGTCGCCTCGGTAGGCAATTTAACGTGCTTTCGTTGTTGCTATCAATGGGCCGATAGTGGTGATGATTTTACAGATGTTGATGTTAAAGCTGCACCGTAATCAAAGCGCTCGGCGTATGATTAACGGCTTCCTCACTCGCGCACTAGTTGTCTTAACACTATGCCAACTAACTTTGGCGAGAAAAAACCCTCGCGTGGGGAAAAACTCAAAAACTCAAATACTAGTGTCGTACAACGAGACCGATGCGACTTGACAGGCGTCTGATTGAAAAACTGTATGCTGCAAAGTTTAAGGAAATGGATTGGGCTTTTCGTTAAAAATATTTTCAAGGTTAAACACTCACGAACAACATCT